ATAATTCACTGTATCACAATTCCAGTGGGTCAGAAGTTTACATACACTAAGTTGACGGTGCCTTTAAACAGCTTGTAAAATTCCAGAAAATGATGTCATGGCTTTAGAAGCTTCTGATTAGGCTTATTGACATAATTTGAGTCAATTGGAGGTGTACCTGTGGATGTATTTCAAGGCCTACCTTCAAACTCAGTGCCTCTTTGCTTGACATCATGAGAAAATCAAAAGAAATCAGAACTGTAGACCTCCACAAGTCTGGTTCATCCTTGGGAGCAATTTCCAAACACCTGAAGGTACCACATTCATCTGTACAAACAATAATACGCAAGTATAAACACCATGGGACCACGCAGCCGTCATACCGCTCAGGAAGGAGACGCGTTCTGTCTCCTAGAGATGAACGTACTTTGGTGTGAAAAGTGCAAATCAATCCCAGAACAACAGCAAAGGACCTTGTGAAGATGCTGGGGAAACAGGTACAAAAGTATCTATATCCACAGTAAAACGAGTCCTATATCGACATTACCTGAAAGGCCGCTCAGCAAGGAAGAAGCCACTGCTCCAAAACCACCATAAAAAAGCCAGACTACGGTTTGCAACTGCACATGGGGACAAACATCGTCCTTTTTGGAGAAATGTCCTCTGGTCTGATTAAACAAAAATAGAACTGTTTGGCCATAATGACCATCGCTATGTTTGGAGGAAAAAGGGGAAGGCTTGCAAGCCGAAGAACACCATCCCAACCGTGAAGCACGGGGTGGCAGCATCATGCTGTGGGGGTGCTTTGCTGCAGGAGGGACTGGTGCACTTCACAAAATAGATGGCATCATGAGGAAGGAAAATTATGTGGATATATTGAAGCAACATCTCAAGACAACAGTCAGGAAGTTAAAGCTTGGTCGTAAATGGGTCTTCCAAATGGACAATGACCCCAAGCATACTTCCAAAGTTGTGGCAAAATGGCTTAAGGACAACAAAGTCAAGGCATTGGAGTGGCCATCACAAAGCCCTGACCTCAATCCTATAGAAAATGTGTGGGCAGAACTGAAAAAGCGTGTTCGAGCAAGGATGCCTACAAACCTGACTCAGTTACACCAGCTCTGTCAGGAGGAATGGGCCAACATTCACCCAACTTATTGTGGGAAGCTTGTGGAAGGCTACCCGAAACGTTTGACCCAAGTTAAACAATTTAAAGGCCGTGTTACCAAATACTAATTGAGTGTATGTAAACTTCTGACCCACTGGGAATGTGATGAAAGAAAAAAAGCTGAAATAAGTAATTCTCTCTACTATTATTCTGAAATTTCACATTCTTAAAATGTTTGATTTTTTACTAGGATTAAATGTCAGGAATTGTGAAAAACAGAGTTTAAATGTATTTGGCTAAGGTGTATGTAAACTTCTGACTTCAACTGTATGTGTATGTATGTATGTATGTATGTTTACTATTGCGTTAAAAAAAACTATTGCGTTAAATAGCAAATGTGCCTACATTGGTCTTGGCACCTGTGCTCTAGCCAACAGCTCGCAGATACCGTGCGAGTAGGTTGTGCGGGTTGTATAGTCTACATGATGAGATTCTTATGGATAAGAGCGAGAATATTTTTATTTGTCAAACGGCAGTCAAGCATCGATCATCATATCACCAGAATAAGACCCTCAATATTTATTGGAAAGCAGCATCAAGCTCATCACCGTGTACTTTCAACACCCTGTGAAGTTCATCATAATTTATCTGTAGCGAATTAACTGCATGGTTTCCTGAGTCGTAGTGGGAGGACCACACACCACATCATCACGACTCCAAATTTACTTCGATATGATGGTTATTTTATCAATGTTTCCACCGACGTTTCCCACATACAGTGAGGGAAAAAAGTATTTGATCCCCTGCTGATTTTGTACGTTTGCCCACTGACAAAGACATGATCAGTCTATCATTTTAATGGTAGGTTTATTTGAACAGTGAGAGACAGAAAAACACATGTCAAAAATTGATTTGCATTTTAATGAGGGAAATAAGTTAACTATACAGAACGGGTCTAGTTGTCCTGGGGTCTGTTTGGAACGGGTCTCTGTAATATTATTTATTTATTTATGTATATCGGGTCTGGGTGGGAAAGCCCCAGGTCCATTTCGGAATGGGTCCAACTTCACAGCTTTATTTAATTCAGGCTGTAACACAACAAAATAAGTCAAGGGGTATGAATACTTTCTGAAGGCACTGTACATGTACCTCTAATTTATCTATTCCCTACCACTAGTTTCTAATCTACAACTTCTAGTGTGACGTTTTTTTCTTATACCTCAATCTCTTCTTCGATAGTGATGTCAGACTAGGAACATTTACGCTTCCCATAACTCTTGAGGTTTCAGTTGATTCTGTCATCTACCTCTAGCATAATGTTTCTCTCTCCTCCATCTTTACCCCTCAGAGTCGGGCCCAGTGCGATGACTCAGACTGCGACAGCGCTGAGCTTGACCAGTCAGGAAGCGGGGAGCCCAGTCGTCCACCCAGCGCTGGGGCCTGGGCACCTCCATCAGGGTCCCATTCTGGGCACCAACGAAGGTCTCCACAGGGGCCCCAGACAGGGCCTCTATAGAGCAAACACACTGGACACTATAGAACTACAGCTACCTTATAGTAAACGACCATCACAGAGCCTACATACGCCAGTCTCTAAAGCAGGACTTCACTGAATGTGATGAGGGGTCACATCAACTTAGCTCAGGCTATGACAAGTTATCTATCAGTGTCTTGTGCAGCAATATGGGTTTGTTAGTTAGCAAGCCTTCATAAGACAATGCAGGTGATTTGTTATAAATGGATAGCAGTTATGACAGTTTGTAATATCTGATATTTCATTTTTTTGTATAGACTTTAGGTAAAGTGTTAATACAAGTACCTTTAGCCACTGCTCCAGTTCAGAAAAAAAAAAAAAAAAACCTGACAGAAATAAACACTGTCCCCTTTGGTGACTTGCCAACTGGTACTTTACCATCACTGCTCTTGGAGGAGCCTAATGTCCAATTCACTCATTTCTCCCATGCAAATGAATATTGTAGATATCCACATATCACGACAAAAATCAAAATGTATTTTACGTGTAAGATAAGAACTGATGTAAGAAAAAGCAGTATGCAGCTCAATGAACAAATGCATGACTACACATGCTTATAATTTAAAGTTTTGGATGTGTCTGTTTAATATTTTGTGAGAAGGTTTACACTTTTTTACCCTGTATTATTTCCATATCATTTTTTGTTTTTATTATTGATGTTGGAAATTAAGAAAAGGTTATGATGTCAAAGGGGAATGAAAATCTCACCGAAATGTTCTTTCATGGATAGGTCCCTCAGCTGGTAATGTTAAAGTCATACTTTTATCTTAACTCTCCTACCACTGAGTTTTGAATACACATCCCTTTAAGATCACACAGGAATTAGCCAAAACAGAGAAAGAATACTGCTTTCTGGTGGTAGTAGTGGAATAGTAAGCATCCTTTGAATTTCAATAGAGGTTTTCACATTGTAACTGGAAAATAGGAATGATATCAAAATCCAAATATTATGAGCAACAATTAAAAAAAAAATACTGTATTGGTAAATCTTCCGAGGTGTGAAGTTTGGGAACATGTAAGCTTGTTGAAGACCCTAGGACTAGGTGATGCCCCTGTATGACAAGAAAGTAAAATCCAATAAAAATCTAATCAAACATAATAACTGAACTACATTGTACCATTCCTTTTCAGTGGGCTCAGGCAGTTTATCACATTTTATTTTTTTACATTAGTAGTAGAAAAGTTACTCATTTTTACCACAGGAAAGTTTTAAATAAAAAAAGACTGCTTACAGCCAGAGGTAGTTTTAGCATTTCACATTTTTATTTATTTTAAGTTCAACAATTCAGTTGCACCCAAATCTACAATAGTTTGAAAACGTGCACAAAAACATGTTTCTTCATCCTGCAAAGAATAATACAAAATAAAATCTGACCAGGCAAAGGAGGAAAACTAGTGTTAGTTCTATAATCTTCCTTCTAGTTATTTTAAATGAATACCTCAAGTCTGATCATATAAAGACCCACAAGTCATTTTGGGGAGTTTTGCCCCTTGCAGCAACCCCCAACCCCCCAGCAGTTAAAAAAAATATTTTCTCTATTTAAAACAAATATTCAAATGTTATTATAATTATTATTTTAGTAATTTCTGAGAAAAGAAATCCATTCCTCTGGCCCGTTGTCTCCGGGTTACCATGCCCCACCCACCCAACCCTATCAGAATCCAGTACACAACAACACTCAAATGTCCTTAAAAAAAAAAAAAGGATGGAAACAGGAATGACAAAATAATTATACAGCAAATAAGAGGTGACACAGAATTCAGTTAAAAATACTCCTCATAGTCCCACTTTAGAGAGCGACGTTTCAATTCATTTCTGACATCGTCTTTCATTACATTTTTTTTAAAGAATACATCATTTACACCCCACGTATACCCATTGCCCCGTTCTGGAAGTTCAGCTTTAAAGAATGTCAAATATCAGAGAATTCTAACACGAGGACTGGTGTGTATTAAATAAAAATAAATACAGATAAAAATTCATCAAATGCAGGGAAAGAACAGTCCATCTAGTATGTCATTATTGGGTCTTTTTTTCTTCAAATTTTTTTGTAAAATATTTTGTAAGAAAAACCTGACCAAAAAAATATGCCTTTTCAGATTTTTCCCAAACTTTTTTCAGATTTTAAGGTCAAAACAGAAAAAAAACAAAAGATTACCAACGAAATATCTTTCAAAATAACTATTTGCAAAGGGAATTTAAAAACATAATAAATAAATAAAATACATTGATGTAATTACAGCTGAGTATATAGGTGTTTAACCAAAGGAAAAGAGAAAACAGTAAGTTGAGAATACTTGGTTTTTGCATTAACTTCAGTGAGGGACTCTGTAAAAAGTAGGGGGGGTTACGTCAGGTGCTGATGAAGATCCTCCGTGTCAGTTCGCTGCCAGTCCAGTAGCTTCAGAGGACAGCCTACAGCAACACAACAAACAAGAGGTGAATCAAAACAAAACTAACCTTTGAATACAAGCTGCTTTGATTTCCCAGTCATACAAGTCTAGTCCTCTTATTCTGAACCATGACTTGGCATATCAGTAGTTCCAGCATGTTGTCCCTTACCTGGCGTTGATCAGGTACTCAGCCAGGCTGATGCCGGCAGGGGAGCCGGTGATGGTCACCTGCCTGTCAGAGGAGCCCTCCACTTGGTTGGCGATCTTGATCTGAGCCCCAGACATCTGACGGATCTCATTGATCTTAGCCCCCTGACGGCCAATGATGCAGCCAATCAACTGAGGCAAGGCGGGGAAGAGAGAGTGAGTCAGAGAATAGAAGACAGTACAACCACTCTTCAAGAGATACAGTGCATTCGGTAAGTATTCAGACCCCTTCACCTTTTCCACATTTTGTTAAGTTACAGCCTTGTTCTAAAATTTATTAAATAAAAAATGTTGCTCAATCTACACACAATACCCCATAATGACAAAGCAAAAACAGGTTTGTAGAAATTGTTGCAAATGTATAAAAAATTAAACACGGAATTATCACATTTACATAAGTATTTAGACCCTTTACTCAGTACTTTGTTGAAGCACCTTTGGCAGCGATTACAGCCTTGGGTCTTCTTGGGTATGACGCTACAAGCTTGGAACACCTGTATTTGGGGAGTTTCTCCCATTCTTCTCTGCAGATCCTCTCAAGCTGTCAGGTTGGATGGGGAGTGTCGCTGCACAGCTATTTTCAGGTCTCTCCAGAGATGTTCGATCGGGTTCACGTCTGGGCTCTGGCTGAACCACACAAGGACATTCAGAGACTTGTCCCGAAGCCACTCCTGCGTTGTTTTGGCTGTGTGCTTAGGGTCGTTGTCCTGTTGGAAGGTGAACCTTCGCCCCAGTCTGAGGTCCTGTGCGCTCTGGAGCAGGTTTTCATCAAGTATCGCTCTGTACTTTGCTCCGTTCATCTTTCCCTCGATCCTGACTAGTCTCCCAGTCCCTGCCGCTGAAAAAAATCCCCACAGCATGATGCTGCCACCACCATGCTTCACCGTAGGGATGGTGCCAGGTTTCCTCCAGATGTGACACTTGGCAATCAAGCCAAAGAGTTAAATCTTGGTTTCATCAGACCAGATAATCTTGTTTCTCATGGTCTGAGACTCCTTTAGGTGCCTTTTGGCAAACTCCAAGCGGGCGCTCATGTGCCTTTTACTAAAGAGTGGCTTCCGTCTGGCCACTCTACCATAAAGGCCTGATTGGTGGAGTGCTGCAGAGATGGTTGTCCTTCTGGAAGGTTCTCCCATCTCCACAGAGGAACTCTGGAGCTCTGTCAGAGTGACCATCAGATGTCAAATAAATTAACTGATGTTTATGTTTTTTTTTTGTATGACTTGTGTAATACTTTCATCATAGAACATTTTGACTTAACTGACCAAGGCCCTTCTCCCCTGATTGCTCAGTTTGGTGGGGCGACCAGCTCTAGGAAGAGTCTTGGTGGTTCCAAACTTCTTCCATTTAAGAATGATGGAGACCAGTGTGTTCTTGGGGACCTTCAATGCTGTAGACATTTTCTGGTACCTTTCCCCAGATCTGTGCCTCGACACAATCCTGTCTCGGAGTTCTACGGACAATTTCTTCGACCTCATGGCTTGGTTTTTGCTCTGACATGCACTGTCAACTGTGGGACCTTATATAGACAGGTGTGTGGGTTTCCAAATCATGTCCAATCAATTTAATTTACCACATAGCAATAGGTCTGAATACTTTCCGAATGCACTGTAAAATGGAAGTTTGATTTAAAACATGTTTCTACTAGAAATATATTAGAAGTATATTAGAAAAAAAAAAATGGCAGAATTAATTACATGAAACTTCGGCTGAAGTATCGAGAACAGGTAAGAGAATTCAAGGGTGGACGGGGACACTTACATCGTTTGGAATGGTCAGCTCATGGGAGCCAGTTTGTGCAGAAGCATCCATGCCAGCTAAAGAGAGAAAAACACTCAGTACCTACAAAGCAAACAATGCACCGTACAAACTAACATGTCAATGAAATGCTTCACGTCTCCATCCTTCCTCTGTGACCTACCCTGGAAACCCTGGTTGTTGGGAGCGATGGGGAAAGGGCTCTGCTGCATGGCCAGCTGGTGGAGTTTGGTAAGCTGTGGAGAGAAAGATGGATAGAGAGAGATGGAAAGGTGGAGCGGAAGAGTGAGAGATGGACAGAGAGGGCGAGGTGGAGAGAGAGAGGGGAGAATGAAAGGAGAGACAGCAACCATAAGCCAGCAGATACACAGGGCTATGATCAGCACAATTTTATATATATATATATATATACATATACACACACATATACACACACACACACACACACACACTACCAGTGAAAAGTTTGGACACACCTACTCATTCAAGGGTTTTTCTTTATTTTTACATTGTAGAATAATAGTGAAGACATCCAAACTATGAAATAACACACAGGGAATCATGTAGTCATCAAGGCAAAGGGTGGCTATTTGAAGAATCTCAAATATAAAATGTATTTTGATTTGTTTAACACTTCTTTGGTCACTACATGATTCCCTGTGTTATTTCATAGTTTTGATGTCTTCACTATTATTCTACAATGTAAAAAAAAAAGTAAAAAAAAGAAAAACCTTTGAATGAGTAGGTGTGTCCAAAATATATATATATATACATACACACACACACATATACACACATACACACATACAGTGGGGGAAAAAAGTATTTAGTCAGCCACCAATTGTGCAAGTTCTCCCACTTAAAAAGATGAGGTCTGTAATTTTCATCATAGGTACACGTCGACTATGACAGACAAATTGAGAAAAAAAATCCAGAAAATCACATTGTAGGATTTTTTATGAATTTATTAGCAAATTATGGTGGAAAATAAGTATTTGGTCACCTACAAACAAGCAAGATTTCTGGCTCTCACAGACCTGTAACTTCTTCTTTAAGAGGCTCCTCTGTCCTCCACTCGTTACCTGTATTAATGGCACCTGTTTGAACTTGTTATCAGTATAAAAGACACCTGTCCACAACCTCAAACAGTCACACTCCAAACTCCACTATGGCCAAGACCAAAGAGCTGTCAAAGGACACCAGAAACAAAATTGTAGACCTGCACCAGGTTGGGAAGACTGAATCTGCAATAGGTAAGCAGCTTGGTTTGAAGAAATCAACTGTGGGAGCAATTATTAGGAAATGGAAGACATACAAGACCACTGATAATCTCCCTCGATCTGGGGCTCCACGCAAGATCTCACCCCGTGGGGTCAAAATGATCACAAGAAAAAAAAAAAAATCCCAGAACCACACGGGGGGACCTAGTGAATGACCTGCAGAGAGCTAGGACCAAAGTAACAAAGCCTATCATCAGTAACACACTACGCCGCCAGGGACTCAAATCCTGCAGTGCCAGACGTGTCCCCCTGCTTAAGCCAGTACATGTCCAGGCCCGTCTGAAGTTTGCTAGAGTGCATTTGGATGATCCAGAAGAGGATTGGGAGAATGTCATATGGTCAGATGAAACCAAAGTAGAACCTTTTGGTAAAAACTCAACTCATCGTGTTTGGAGGACAAAGAATGCTGAGTTGCATCCAAAGAACACCATACCTACTGTGAAGCATGGGGGTGGAAACATCATGCTTTGGGGCTGTTTTTCTGCAAAGGGACCAGGACGACTGATCCGTGTAAAGGAAAGAATGAATGGGGCCATGTATCGTGAGATTTTGAGTGAAAATCTCCTTCCATCAGCAAGGGCATTGAAGATGAAACGTGGCTGGGTCTTTCAGCATGACAATGATCCCAAACACACCGCCCGGGCAACGAAGGAGTGGCTTCGTAAGAAGCATTTCAAGGTCCTGGAGTGGCCTAGCCAGTCTCCAGATCTCAACCCCATAGAAAATCTTTGGATGGAGTTGAAAGTCTGTGTTGCCCAGCGACAGCCCCAAAACATCACTGCTCTAGAGGAGATCTGCATGGAGGAATGGGCCAAAATACCAGCAACAGTGTGTGAAAACCTTGTAAAGACTTACAGAAAATGTTTGACCTGTGTCATTGCCAACAAAGGGTATATAACAAAGTATTGAGAAACTTTTGTTATTGACCAAATACTTATTTTCCACCATAATTTGCAAATAAATTCATTAAAAATCCTACAGTGATTTTCTGGATTTTTTTTTCTCATTTTGTCTGTCATAGTTGACGTGTACCTATGATGAAAATTACAGGCCTCTCTCATCTTTTTAAGTGGGAGAACTTGCACAATTGGTGGCTGACTAAATACTTTTTTCCCCCCACTGTACACACACAGATACACTACCAGTCGAAAGTTTGGACACACCTACTCATTCAAGGGTTTTTCTTTATTTTTACACACACACACACACACACACACACACACACAGTTCACAAATATGTATCGCTCCTACAGACAGTGAATCACATGGCTTTTCACGCACGACAATGTCTAGGGTTTACGGAGAATGGTGCGACAAACATCCAGTCAGCATCAGTCCTCCGGGCGAAAACAGCTTGTTGATGAGACAGGTCGAAGGAGAATGGCAAGAACCCTGCAAGCTAATAGGCAGGCTACAAACAAACAAATAACGGCGCAGCACAAGTGGTGTGCAGAAATGCATCTCGGAATGCTTAACTAGTCTATCCTTGTCACGGACAAGAACAAGAAGAAGCGGCTCCAGTGGGCACGCGATCACCAACAACGGACAACTGAGGAGTGGAAAACCGTCGCCTGGAACATGAAAGTGAGTTCAGTTTACTTGAGTGGCCTGCGCAGTCCCCAGACCTCAACCCAATAGAGCATCTTGGAAAATACTGTATATACACACACAACATCCCTGTGGAACATGTCCGACACCTTGTAAAATGCCCCAAAGAATTCCAGCTGTTCTGAGGGCAAAGGGGGGACCGACCCGGTACTAGATGGGTGTACCTAATAAACTTGCCGGTGAGTGAGTACACACACACACACACATGCAGGGATGCACATAGAGTGCATTCGGAAAGTATTTAGATCCCTTGACCTTTTCCTCATTGTTACGTTACAGACTTATTCTAAAATGGATTAAATACTTTTCCCCCCCTCAATCTACACACAATACCCCATAATGACAAAGCAAAAACAGGTTTAGAAATTATTACAAATAAATAAATAAATATTCAGAGCCTTTGCTATGAGACTCGAAATTGAGCTCAGGTGCATCCTGTTTCCATTGATCATCCTCGAGATGTTTCTACAACTTGGAGTCCACCTGTGGTAAATTCAATTGATTGGACATGATTTGAAAAGGCACCACAGTTGACAGTGCATGTCAGAGCAAAAACCAAGTCATGAGGTCAAAGGAAATGTCCGTAAAGCTCTGAGACAGGATTATGTCGAGGCACAGATCTGAGGAAGGGTACTAAAAAATGTCTGCAGCATTGAAGATCCCCAAGAACACGGTGGCCTCAATCATTCTTAAATGGATGAAGTTTGGAACCACCAAGACTTCCTAGAGCTGGCCGACCCAGCCAAACTGAGCAATCGGGGAGAAGGGCCTTGGTCAGGGAGGTGACCAAGAACCCAATGGTCACTCTGACAGAGCTCCAGAGTTCCTCTGTGGAGATGGGAGAACCTTCCAGAAGGACAACCATCTCTGCAGCACTCCACCAATAAGGCCTTTATGGTAACAAGATTCTCTGGTCTGATGAAACCCAGATTGAACTCTTTGGCCTGAATGCCAACTGTCACATCTAGAGGAAACCTGGCACAATCCCTATGGAGAAGCATGGTGGTGGCAGCATCATGCTGTGGGGATGTTTATCAGTAGCAGGGACTGGGAGACTAGTCAGGATCAAGTGAAAGATGAACAGAGCAAAGTACAGAGCGATCCTTGATGAAAACCTGCTCTAGAGCACTCAGGACCTCAGACTGGGGCGAAGGTTCACCTTCCAACAATACAACGACCCTAGGCACACAGCCAAGACAACTCAGGAGTGGCTTTGGGGGAAGTCTCTGAATGTCCTTGAGTGGCCCAGCCAGAGCCCGGACTTGAACCCGATCGAACATCTCTGGAGAGACCTGAAAATAGCTGTGCAGCGACGCTCCCCATCCAACCTGACAGAGCTTGAGAGGATCTGCAGAGAAGAATGGGAGAAACTCCCCACATACAGGTGTGCCAAGCTTGTAGTGTCATACCCAAGAAGACTCAAGGTTGTAATTGCTGCCAAAGGTGCTTCAACAAAGTACTGAGTAAAGGGTTTGAATACTTATGTAAATATGATATTTCATCATTTATATATTTTTATAAAATTTGCAAACATTTCTAAAAACCTGTTTTTTCTGTATCATTATGGGGTAGCGTGTAGATTACTGAGGGGAATTTATTTTCTCACCCACTTTAGAATAAGGCTGTAACAAAGTGTGGAAAAAGTCAAGGGGTCTGAATACTTTCCGACTGCTCTTTTCCATATTATGTCTGTCTGATAAGCTACCCAGGAAAAGGCTGAAAATAGCTCATATTAAAATATGTAGCCTTAGAAATAAGGTTCATGAAATCAATAACTTGCTAACGTCAGATAACCTTCATATATCCCCTGTAGCTCAGTTGGTAGAGCATGGCGCTTGCAATGCCAGGGTTGTGGGTTCGTTTCTCACGGGGGGCCAGTATGAAAATGTATGCACTCACTAACTGTAAGTCGCTCTGGATAAGAGCGTCTGCTAAATGACTAAAATGTAAATATATTAGCAATTTCTGAGACTCACTTAGATAATTCATTTGATGATACAGCAGTAGCAATACAAGGATATAACATCTATAGAAGAGACAGAAATGCTTAAGGGACATGTGTTGCTGGATATATTCAGAGCCATATCCCTGTAATGCTTAAAGAAGATCTTATGTCAAGTGTTATTGAAGTGTTGTGGTTGCAGGTTCACTTGGCACATCTAAAGCCTTTTCTTTTGGGGTGTTGCTATAGGCCACCAAGTGCTAACAGTGAGTATCTAAATAATATGTATGAAATGCTTGATAGTGTATGTGATGTAAACAGAGCAGTCTACTTTCTTCGGGACCTGAATATTGACTGGTTTTCATCAAGCTGTCAAACCAGTGCCTATAATCTGGTTCAGGTTATTAAAAATCAACCTACCAGGGTGTTTACAAACACTACAGGAACAAGCTCATCCACATGTATTGATCACGTTTACTAATACTGTAGAACTTTGTTCTAAAGCTGTGTCTGTGCCAATTGGATGCAGTGATCACAATATAGTGGCTATATCCAGGAAAGCCAAAGTTCCAAAAGCTGGGCCTAAAATAGTGTATAAGAGATCATACAAAAGATTTTGCTGTGACTTATGTGGATGATGTTAAAAATATTTGTTGGTCTTATGTGATTAATAAGGAGCATCCAGACACTGCACTTGATGAATTTATGAAATTGCTTCTTCCAATTATTGATAAAAATGCACCTGTTAAGAAACTGACTGTTAGAACTGTTAAGGCTCCATGGATTGATGAGGAATTGAATAACTGTACGGTTGAAAGAGACGGGGCAAAAGGAGTGGCTAATAAGTCTGGCTGCACATCTGATTGGCTGACTTACTGCAAATTGAGAGATGTGACTAAACTCAACAAAAAGAAGAAACCAGATTATGAAGCCAAGATCAATGATATAAAGAATGATGGAAAAATACGTTGGTGTACTTTAAATGAAATTATCGGCAGAAAGACAAATTCAACTCCATCTTTCATTGAATCAGATGGCTTATTCATCACAAAACCATCTGATGTTTACCAATGATTTTAATGATTACTTCATTGGCAGTGTGGGCAAACTTTGGCAGGAAATGCCAACAACGAACAGTGAGCCACCGTACTCATGCAGAAAAAATACAAAATGAAAGAAAAGCATTGCAAGTTTGAATTTTGTAAAGTTAGTATGGGAGAGGTGGAAGAATTGTTATTGATCAATAATGACAAACCTCCTGGCATTGACAACTTAGATATGGAAAGCTACTGAGGATGGTAGCTGACTCTATAGCCACTCCTATCTGTCATATCTTTAATTTGAGCCTAGAGGAAAGTCTTTGTCCTCAGGCCTGGAGGGAAGCCAAAGGAATTCCGGTACCCAAGAGTGGTAAAGGGCCTTTACTGGTTCTAACAGCAGACCTATCAGTTTGCTGCCAGCTCTTAGCAAACTGTTGGGAAAAATGGTGTTCGACCAAATACAATGATATTTCTCTGTAAACAAATGAACAGATTTTCAGCATGCTTATAGAGAAGGGCACTTAACATGTACTGCACTGACACAAATGACTCATGATTGGTTGAAAGAAATTGATAAGATTGTGGGGGCTGTACTGTTAGATTTCAGTGCAGCCTTTGATATTATTGACCATAACTGTTGTGTTATGGCTTTTCAACCTACGCGCTGAATCCACAATATAGCAAACTAATGGAACTCAGAGGGTGTTCGTTAATGAAAGCTTCTCTAATGTCAAACATGTAAAGTGTGGCATACCACAGAACAGCGCTCTAGGCCCTGTACTGTTTTCTATTTTTTACCAATGACATGCCACCAGCATTAAACAAAGCATGTGTGTCCATGTATGCTGATGATTCAACCATCTACACATCAGCAACCACAGCTAATGAAGTCACTGAAACCCTTAACAAAGAGTTAGTCTGTTTTGGAATGGGTGGCCAGTAATAAACTGGTCCTGAACTTTTCTAAAACTAAGAGCATTGTATTTTGTACAAATCATTCCCTAAGTTCTAGACCTCAGCTGACTCTGGTAATGGATGGTGTGGCTGTTGAACAAGTTGAGGAGACTAAATTACTTAGTGTTACCTTAGATGGTAAACTGTCATGGTCAAAACATATAGATTCAATGACGGTAAAGATGGGGAGAGGTCTGTCCGTAATAAAGAAATGCTCTGCTTTTTTGACACCACACTCCAAAAAGAAAGTCCTGCAGGCTCTAGTTCTCTCTTATCTTTATTATTTGTCCAGTCGAGTGCTGCAAGGAAAGACCTAGTTAAGCTGCAGCTGGCCCAGAACAGAGCGGCACGTCTTGCTCTTCATTGTAATCAGAGGGTTGATATAAATAAATACTATGGCTAAGAGTTGAGAGACTGACTGCATCACTTCTTTTTATAAAGAAACATTAATGTGTTGAAAATCCCAAATTGATTGCATAGTCAACATACCCACAGCTCTGACACACACACACACACATACCCCACCAGACATGCCACCAGGGGTCTTTTCACAGTCCCCAAATCCAGAACAAATTCAAGAAAGCGTACAGTATTATATAGAGCCATTATTGCATGGAACTCCGTTCCACCTCATATTGCTCAAATGAACAGCAAACCTGGTTTCAAAAAACATAATGCAACACCTCACGGCGCAACGCCTCTCCTCTATTTGACCGAGATAGTTTGTGTGTATGTATTGACATGTAGGCTACTTGTGCCTTTTTTAAATGTATGTAGTTCTGTCCTTGAGCTGTTTTTGTCTATTAATGTTCTGTATTATGTCATGTTTCGTGTGTACCTCAGGGAGAGTAGCTGCTGCTTTTGCAACAGCTAATGGGGATCCTAATAAAATACCAAAGAAAATATGAATATTGCGCCATTCGGGAGGACAGTGCCTTGCAAAAGTATTCATCCCCCTTGCCGTTTTTTTCCCCATTTTGTTGCATTACAACCTGTAATTTAAATGGATTTTTATTTGGTTTCCTTGTAATGGACATACACAAAATAGTCAAATTTGGTGAAGTGAAATGAAAATAAATAACGGAAAAGTGGGGCGTGCATATGTATTCACCCCCTTTGCTATGAAGCCCCTAAATAATATCTGGTACAATCAATTACCTTCAGAAGTCACATAATTAGTTAAATAAAGTCCACCTGTGTGCAATCTAAGTATCACATGATCTCTGTGTGTGTGATATATATATATATATATATACACACACACATATACATATATACACACACACACACACACACACACACACAGGTGGTCCTCTGTAGCTCAGCTGGTAGAGCACGGCGCTTGTAACGCCAAGGTAGTGGGTTCGATCCCCGGGACCACCCATACACAAAAAAATTTATGCACGCATGACTGTAAGTCGCTTTGGATAAAAGAGTCTGCTAAATGGCATATTATTATTATTATTATTATTATTATACACACACACACCTGTTCTGAAAGGCCCCAGAGTCTGCAACACCACTAAGCAAGGGGCACCATGAAGACCAAGGAGCTCTCCAAACAGGTCAGGGTCAAAGTTGTGGAGAAGTAAAATGTAAAAATGTAAGTAAAAATATCAGAAACTTTGAACATCCCACGGAGCACCATTAAATCCATTATTAAAAATGGAAAGAATATGGCACCACAACAAACCTGCCAAGAGAGGGCCGCCCACCAAAACTCACGGACCAGGCAAGGAGGGCATTAATCATAGAGGCAACAAAGAGACCAAAGATAACCCTGAATGATCTGCAAAGCTCCACAGCGGAGATTGGAGTATCTGTCCATAGGACCACTTTAAGCCGTACACTCCACAGAGCTGGGCTTTATGGAAGAGTGGCCAGAAAAAATCCATTGCTTAAAGAGAAAAATAATCTAACACGTTTGGTGTTCGCCAAAAGGTATGTGGGATACTCCCCCAAACATATGGAAGAAGGTACTCTGGTCAGATGAGACTAAAATTGAGCTTTTTGGCCATCAAGGAAAACGCTATGTCTGGCGCAAACCCAACACCTCTCATCACCCCGAGAACACCATCCCCACAGTGAAGCATGGTGGTGGCAGCATCATGCTGTGGGGATGTTTTTCCATTGGCAGGGACTGGGAAACTGGTCAGAATTGAAGGAATGATGGATGGCGCTAAATACAGGGAAATTCTTGAGGGAAACCTGTTTCAGTCTTCCAGAGATTTGAGACTGGGATGAAGGTTCACCTTCCAGCAGGACAATGACCCTAAGCATACTGCTAAAGCAACACTTGAGTGGTTTAAGAGGAAACATTTAAATATCTTGGAATGGCCTAGTCAAAACCCAGACCTCAATCCAATTGAGAATCTGTGGTATGACTTAAAGGTTGCTGTACACCAGCGGAACCCATCCAACTTGAAGGAGCTGGAGCAGTTTTGCCTTGAAGAATGGGCAAAAATCCCAGTGGCTAGATGTGCCAAGCTTATAGAGACATACCCCAAGAGACTTGCAGCTGTAATTGCTGCAAAAGGTGGCTCTACAAAGTAGGGGGGGGGGGTGAATAGTTATGCACGCTCAAGTTCTGTTTTTTTGTATTATTTCACAACATTTTTTATTTTGCATCTTTAAAGTGGTAGCCATGTTATGTAAATCAAATGATACAAACCTCCCAAAAATCTATTTTAATTCCAGGTTGTAAGGCAACAAAATAGGTAAAATGCCAAGGGGGGGGTGAATACTTTCGCAAGCCACTGTTTGTGCGGTCAAATAATTTTGCTGATTACCATACATGCAGCAACTCAACACAAAACAATGGATTGATTGAAAGTAGAAGGCTAGCATAGGATCACATCAACAATCAAATCAATGACTCAAAGCCTAATTTCAGAATTTCTATCAAACATAATTGATGTACAGAGAAACTAAACAAAACACATGGTAACAACTAATCATTGAAACAACCAACTGTGTTTAAAACTACCAGTAGGCCTTAGCGATGCATCACTGCAGTGCATGAATTGATTGAAACTCAAAATGGAACTTGGGTGGTTTGGGGGGAGGGACAAAAAGTACAGCGTGTAATAGAGAGAGGGTGGGTGCCATGGCTACCCAGGAGGGTTGACTGTATGTGTAGATATATGGGCTCACTTACAGAATGACCTTCACTTACGTCAGGCTGTGGAATGGCGTGCTGTCCTTGGACAGCGTATGCCTGCAATGAGAGAACAGTACTTAGGAGGGTGCGAGGGAAACGAAAACAAAGAGCATGCACGTGCATACACACACCAAGTGAATGTGCGTGCACAGACAAATACGCAAACACACACAGGCTGTAGTATACTGGGGACCTATGTCCTTGGATGACTGGAATGAGAAAAATGCTATGGGGTAATTCATACATCAACACGCTGTATGTAGGTATCATAAGTAGTCACCTCCTTGGATTTGTTTTTCCGCGTTTTGTTGCGTTACAAAGTGGGATTAAAATTGTTTTCATTGTGATTGCCATTGATCTACATAAAATATTCCATAATGTTAAAGTGAAAAGACAATTCTACACATTTGTACTAATAAAAATGTAATAACTAAAATAGTAATTTAGGCATTCCTAAATTATACTGAACAAAAATATGAACAAAACATGTAAAGTGTTGGTCCCATGTTTCATAAAATGTAATAAAAGATCCCAGAAATGTTCCATACACACAAAAAGCGTATTTCTCGCAAATGGTGTGCACAAATCTGTTTACATCCCTGTTAGTGAGCATTTCTCCATTGCCAAGATAATCCATCCACCTGACAGGTGTGGCATATCAAGACACTGATTAAACAACATGATCATTACACAGGTGCACCTTGTGCTTGGGTCAATGAAAGGCCACTATAATGTGCAGTCACACAATGCCACAGATGTCTCAAGTTCTGAGGGATCGTGCAATTGGCATGCTAACTGCAGGAATGTCCACCAGAGCTGCTGCCAGATAATTAAATGTTAATTTCTTTACCATAAGCAGCCTCAAACGTCGTTTTAGAGAATTTGGCAGTACGTCCAACCGGCCTCACAACTGCAGACCACGTGTATGGCGTCTTGTGGGCGAGCGGTTTGCTGATGTCAACGTTGTGAACAGAGTGCCACATGGTGGCGGTGGGGTTAGGGTATGGGCAGGAATAAGCTACGGACAACAACCACAATTGCATTTTGTTGATTGCAATTTGAATGCACACAGATACCGTAACGAGATCCTGAGGGTCATTGTCATGCCATTCTTCCGCCACCATCACCTCATGTTTCAGCATTATAATGCATGGCCCCATGTCGCAAGGATCTGTACACAATTCCTGGAAGCTGAAAATGTCCCAGTTCTTTCATGACCTGCATACTCACCAGACATGTCACCCATTGAGCATGTTTGGGATGCTCTGGATCGACATGTACGACAGCATGTTCCAGTTCCGGCCAATATCCAGCAACTTTGCACAGCCATTGAAAAGGAGTGGGACAACATTCAACAGGCCACAATCAACAGCCTGATCAACTTTATGCGAAGGAGATGTGTCACGCTGCATGAGGCAAATGGTGGTCACACCAGATACTGACTGGTTTTCTGATCCACAACTCTACCTTTTTATTAAGGCATCTGTGACCAACAGATGTATATCTGTATTCCCAGTCATGTGAAATCCATAGATTAGGGCCCAATTAATTAATTTCAATTGACTGATTTCCTTATATGAACTGTAACGCAGTAAACATTTTGAAATTGTTGCATATTGCGTTTATATTTTTGTTCAGTATAGTTCAAGAGTAAAATTTGGCTTAACAAATCACATCAATTACATGGACTCACTCTGTGTGAAATAATAGAGGAGTTGAATGACTACCCCATCCTCTGTCCCCCATACATACATACATACATACATACATACATACATACGGAAAGTATTCAGACCCCTTGATTTTTTCCATATTGTTACTTTTTCTAAAATTGATTAAATTATATTTTTCCCTCAGCAATCTACACACAATACCCCATAATGACAAAGCAAAAACAGGGTTTTAGAAATGTTTGCAAATAAATAATAACAAATACCTTATTTACCTAAGTTGAATGCACCAATTTGTAAATCGCTCTGGATAAGAGTGTCTGCTAAATGACTTAAATGTAAAATGTAAGTATTCAGACCCATTGCTATGTGGTAAATTCAATTGATTGGACATAATTTGGAAAGGCACACACCTGTCTATATAAGGTCCCACAGTTGACAGTGCATGTCAGAGCAAAAACCAAGCCATGAGGTCGAAGGAATTGTCCGTAGACCTCCGAGACTGGAATGTGTCGAGGCACAGATCTGGGGAAGGGTAACAAAACATTTCTGCAGCATTGAAGGTCCCCAAGAACAGTTGCCTCCATCATTCTTAAATGGAAGAAGTTTGGAAACACCTAGACTCTTCCTAGAGCTGGCTGCCTGGCCAAACTGAGCAATCGGGGGAGAAGGGCCTTGGTCAGGGATGTGACCAAGAACCCGATGGTCACTCTGACAGAGCTCCAGAGTTCCTCTGTGGAGATGGGAGAACCTTCCAGAAGGACAACCATCTCTGCTGCACTCCACCAATCAGGCCTTTATGGTAGAGTGCCCAGACGGAAGCCACATGACAGCCCGTTTGGAGTTTGCCAAAAGGCACCTAAAGGATTCTCAGACCATGAGAAACAAGATTCTCTGGTCTGATGAAACCAAGATGGAACTCCTTGGCCTGAATGCCAAGCGTCACGTCTGGAGGAAACCTGGCACCATCCCTACGGTAAAGCATGGTGGTGGCAGCATCATGCTGTCGGGATGTTTTTCAGTGGCAGGGACTGCTCCCAATCCAATCTGACAGAGCTTGAGAGGATCTGCAGAGAAGAATGGGAGAAACTCCCCAAATACAGGTGTGCCGAGCTTGTAGCATCATACCCAAGAAGATTCAAGGCTGTAATCGCTGCCAAAGGTGCTTCAACAAAGTACTGAGTAAAGGGTCTAAATACTTATGTAAATGTGATATTTCAGTTAATTTTTTAAAATACATTTGCAAACATTTCTATAAACCTGTTTTTGCTTTGTCATTATGGGGCATTGTGTGTAGATTGATGGAAAAAAAATCAATTTAATCAATTTTAGAATAAGGCTGTAACGTTACAAAATGTGGAAAAGGTTAAAGGGTCTGAATACTTTCCAAATGCACTTTGAGGCATTGAATTTCAAGCACAGATTAAACTACAAAGAACTGAGTTTTTCCCCGAAAACCCCATAAAGGGCAGTGATTGGTAGATGGGTAAAAATAACAAATTATACATTTAATATATCTTTAAGCATGGTCAAGTTAATAATTATGCTGTGGATTATGTAATTAAACCACCCAGATACATCAAAGATACAGTCGTCCTTCTGTACTGAGCTGCAGGACAAGAAGGAACCTGTTCAATGGCTGTGATGGGAGAAAACTGAGGATGGATCAACAACATTGTACAATAGAAAATAATACAAATATACATCATATTTCAAAACATGCATCCTGTATGCAACAAGGCACTAAAGTAATACTGAGAAGAAAAAACAACAAAGGAATACACTCTTTGGCCTAAATGCAAAGCCTAATGTTTGGGGCAAATTTACATTAAGGCTACATTTTAATCATTTAGCAATTACGGTTAAGTGCCTTGCTCATGGGCACAAATTTTTGTCGGCTCGGGATTCGAACCAGCGACCTTTCAGTAACTGGCCCAACGCTCTAACCGCTAGCCTACCTGCCTCCCAAATCCAACACATCACTGCCATGTTGGGGGTATGCTTGACATCGGCAAAGAACCGGGAAGGAGCTAAGCACAGCCAACATCCTAGAGGAAAACATGCTTCAGTCTGCTTTACACCAGACACTGGGAAAATAATTCCCCTTTCAGCAGGACAATAACCTACAACACAAGGTCAAATCTACACTTGAGTTGCTTATCAAGAAGTCAAATGTTCCTGAGTTGCCAGGTTACGGTTGACTTAAATTGCTGTCTAGCCATGATCCCCCCCAACAACTTGACAGAGCTTTTGAAAATAATAATAGGCAAATATTGCACAATCCGGGTGTGCAAAGCGCTTAAGGGGCGGCAGGTAGCTTAGTGGGTAAGAGCGTTGTGCCAGTAACCGAAAGGTCGCTGGTTCTAATCCCCGAGCCGACTAGGTGAAAAATCTGTCGATGTGCCCTTAAGCAAGGCACTTAACCCTAATTGCTCCTGTAAGTCGCTCTGGATAAGAGCGTCTGCTAAATAACTAATATGTAAAAAATGTTAAGAGATTTATTCAAGAAGAGTCACAGCTGTAATCGCTGCCAATGGTGTTTCTAACATGCATTGTTGACTTAGGGGGTGAATACTTATCTAATCAAGGTAAAAAAAAATATATATATATATATATTCTTCCACTGACAAGAGTATTTTGTGTAGATCGTTGACAAAACATGACAATGAAATCAATTTTAATCCCACTTTGTAACAATAAAATGTGAATGAATAATGAACCCAAATGGGGTGAATACTTATGACAGGCACTATATATACACTAAACACACAAACACCTACCCACACAAAGAACACGTACACACAAAACAACAATATAGACGTGGGTAACGCACACGCGCCCTCCAGCTGACATTCAACCCATCTGTCAGCTCAGCTACTCTACAATTACTGGAGGGGATTTCTAACCCCTAACATAGAAATTCTGGCCAATCGGCAATGGTGCTGACATCTGCACAGTGCAGAATAATACTCTACTGAAATGTAGAAACACAGACTTAAAAATACAGTGGTATTCAACTTCCCTAAAACAACTGACAATGCTATCATTTTAGAAGGGAAACTTAATTAGAAAACAACTTACATAAATTACAGACCAATTAATTAGGTTGGTTTATTTACCTGACCACCTGCAAAGATCACAGGAGAGCCTGAGGGTTTGGGCCTGTACGGGATGGTTACACCCTTAGGCGGAGACTGAGGAGAGAGAGAGAGAAACAAATCAACTATTAGGAACTGGAAACTATACATACACAGTTATTTTGCAGACATGTAGAAAAACAATGGATATAAATTAGGAAGCTAAGTAACATTCCTGACAATCCTGATGAAATAGAAAATTCAAGAAAAATTGTGCGCCATTGTTCCCATACTACTACCTCAAGCATGACGACACAGATCTGCTTGACACACTCAATGATGGGCTGGGGGGTCCCTGCAATGGTGATGGCACGCTCCGTGGAGTTAGGCAGCATGTCCCCTGCCACCTGTACCTGAGCTCCTGTCGACTACAAAGAGACAGACAGAAGGGTCAACAGTGTTCAGTTAGTGTTCCCGAGTTCTCTTTAAAATATCGTCAGACAATAATAATAATAATACAGCTAGTTCTTTGAATAAACATATTATTAAAATGTCATGTGGTGACCCAGTGACAAAGATGCATTATTCTTAGGTGAAAAGAACCATGGTGTCTCAGTACAGGTTGGATCATTGGGTTCAACGATAGGTGTTGAAGAATCTGGGCAAGAATCCTCCAATCATAACTTGACTGGCCAAATGGGCAAAAAAGGTTTTTGGAATAATTTCCTAAGGGTTTTTCAAATTCCATTGCCAATACTTCTCTTTAGAATACATCTCATGAAACCCACAGCTGTGATGATGACTGCCTCCTGTATGGCTGTTCTGTACTTACCTCTCTGATTTCCTTGATCTTGCAGCCGCCCTTGCCGATGAGCGAGCCACACTGGCTGGCAGGCACAACGATGCGCAGGGTGACTGGTGGTTTGCTGGTGGCCGTGCTGTTAGTCATTGAGCTGCTGATGTCCTGTGGGGAATAGAGCAGGAGACAAGAGACACTGGTCAGGATGACATCAGTCCAAAGACCTAGAATCTAGGTCCTATAGATGTTATAGGATCTTTACTATGCAAAATCAGAAATTGCTACAAGTAGTTTTACTCCAAAATGGTGTGTTTATGGGTGCATAATTTTTTTTTTCTTTACAATTTCATAGTAATACATTTCCAGTCTGATTGAAACGTTATACATTGACTGTTTGAAATCTGTAGTTAGGAGTCATTCGAACCTCCTCCAGCTTCTCGATGATCATGGAGAAGGCTTTAAAGATGGCGGTGGTGGGGCCTGCCAGGGTGATGATCCTCTCTGGGCAGTTCCCCTCTGAGATGTTGATACGAGCACCACTCTGCACAAGACAGTCACTTGTTTTGTTATTACAATGCTAAAATATTAAGACTCCATATATTTAATTGCATTTAGGAATTCAGTCATTAAAGCTCTGTCAGTGCTGGCCTGATTTTGGTTCTAAAATCACAATCTGTCAACCCTGAAGCATGAGTCAGAATCAGACATGGAAAATGTTTAGAATTGTCTACTTCTCTCAAACTCCTTTCAACAGTTCCATATGGCCTCAATGCAATGACAGACAACTCACCTCCTCTCTCATCTTCTTCACAGACTCTCCTTTCTGCAGATAAAGCACAGGATCCACAATATTTACTAGCCGCATTTACATACACTACCGTTGCTCCCGATTGTATTGGGTTGCACAAAAACAGTCCAAATTACTGGGCAGTTGGGCAGGATGGTTGGTGATATGACGTGGGGGAATTTGAGACAATATCTAAAGGAATGCATTATTAAACTGACTTTCCAAACTTGGGTCTGTTGTAGACCCAATTCCTCTCTGTAAGTTGAAATGAAATTTTATTTAAACTTCTGGCTTCCCACAGACTGTTTTAGTGCAACCCATACAGTGTATGGAAATATACCTACACTGCTAAACGCTGCTAGATGTTTACACAACAGTCACAGCCATGATTGAACAGTGCAAAGCCGAACACAGTGAGAAACATCAGGAAAACGGCACACTCACCTTGCCAATAATGCTTCCAACCTCCTGCAGATAAGAAAAGCAATAACACAATCACTAATCCATCCGTTTTTGATATTCACTTAACAATAGCTTTACCCAAGACTGAAAGAAACCTGTCTGTAGTAGTTTTGCCCATTATATCTAAGTTATGCTAGTCCCTGGTGCCCGACTAAAGACAGTGGTAAGAGATTAGGTTTATGCTGACTATTCACAGTAATGAATGAGGTTTGTGAATGGGACAACCACGGTGTAATGGTCATAACTCTATCGTCCATCTCCTGTTCACACTCACCTTTCCGTGCATAAGTAGCCTAATGGTAAGGGTGACATTGAGCCCTCCTTCAACCACACTGGTGTCCATAGCTGTTGTAGTGTCTGAAGTCTAGACTGGCCAAGAAGTCGAGTCGTTGTTCAAAAGTATCAGGTCTGCAAGACAAGAGGGACCAGAGAGATAAATGAACAAGTGTTAAGTTACAGAGGGCAACCAACAACCAGTACTAGCTACTGTTCTACAGAGGATTAAGCTGAAAATAATGAAACTAGCTGCTGAGTGTGCTGACCAGATTGATACCAGTCTGATGATGCCATCTCGTCAGTGAATCACGTCGATTAACTTGACTCATTAACTACACCCAAGATTCACTAACTCCGTTCATATTGCAGTGTACCGGTTCAGAGACAGATAGTAGCTAGCTAGTTAACGGCCTATTGATTAGCTAACGTAAAACAACTTGGAACGAAAAAGCCTTGTGTAGCGACGCTAACTAGCCTTAGTTGCTAACATTAGCTAGCTAGCTAACTACATTTATTGGCACCTTGGAAAATACAAAACACTTATTTAAAAAAAAGTTACTGTAGTAGCTAGCTAGTAACGTTTATATATATATAGCTAGCAAACGTTACTAGCTAGCTACTACAGTAACTTTGTTTAAAATAAGTGTGTATTTCTTGGTCATGCATATAAACCAGAATGCTTGCTATAGTGGAAATAAAATACCAAAGAAGCCAAGCTATCCAGCAAGCATCAATTGCCTGCTTGAAATGGCGAGTAAGCTAGCCAACAGTATGGCTAGTAGTGACATTGGCTAGCTAAACTAGTTTAAGTTGAAAAACCTCAAGTTGATGAATCAATGAATGAGAAACGGTCCATACCTTTGGTACAGTAGAGTGAGGATACATCAATATTATGCAAGCTGCATATTTTCTAGTTGGGTTGTTTTTAAAACCAAGAACTAGCTTGGTTAAAAAGGAAGGTAGCTAACGTTAACTGGCTAACTTATCAAATCAGAATGAGCACAATGTTAGCAAACTAGCATGAGTGACGATAATCCGCAATTTTGAATGCTGCGGCCTAGGTCCTGAGACTCATTCAGGCGCCGTTAACCCTGTCCTTCACTCCAAAGAAAATGCAGTAGTTAGGGCAGCCTTACCTGAACCGTACCGTGAGATGTGTTCAGGGGGAGGGTAGGGTGTTAAGGGTAGAAGGGAAGAGGTTCGGGAGGGAATTTTAAAAGGATTCGGGGAAAAGGGAAGAGACGCTGCTGCTCGATCGGGTTCCACTCTTCTGCTTAACACAAAAGACAACAAAAGGAAAACATTTCAACTTTCACCTTTACCCCGATCCTCCCCCACGAGTTAACCCCACCCATTAAAAACCCTGGCTGTCGTCACAATTTTATTTTTTCAGTTACAAAACCCACACATATTGATGCTGGTAAATAAATATATTTTTAGTAAGCTGTGCTTACTCTATGGCGGCCATATGAACAACAAGACAAACGCATGTAGCTAGCTAAGCAATCTGTTTTATTTTTCTTGAATAACATGTTGTGGTATTTGTTGGTCTTTTTCTGTAAATTGACAGTAGAATGGTCTTGTATCTGTGTTAAAAGATAGCAGGGAGTATAATAGAGGTTTGTTGCATTATGCAGCAAAGCCACTGATGTGAGAGTAATTTGACCATATGGCCATGCACTGTTAGCTCATTCCTGGGAAAATAGCAGAGTATGTCAGGGCAAAAGCTGTTATTCAGAATGGTGATGGAGAAATCCACATAGGCCTACAATAATTATAGGTTTCCCTTGTAAAATCAAATTTCCTTCCCCAAAACTGAAAGGAGTCTATGATGTAACAAAGTATATGACGTCATATATTATTATTTTATTAGTGGGTTTCAAAGTTCTCAGTTCTGAAAGAATGAGACTTCGCCTCTGCTTCATCAAAAATGTTATTTTTTTGGTACTTCAAGTGTATTTATTTAAAGAGCCCATGAGATAAATAGGATATTATATCATATCTATTTTTCTTTCAAAAGTATATCTATTTGTATTAATTTTTTTCTGAGAAATAGTTATTTATCATAGGGGAAAATGGAGGAGAAACTAACTATGAGTGATATAGATTTGGATAAGATCCTTTCTACACCTCAAGAAGTACCACATTCCGTTGAGGTGGTACTGAGGAAATTGGAGATTGCTGAAATGGGTCGAGCGAAACGAGTGAGTCAGATTCCAAAAAGGGTTCCTCTTGTAACGCCCATGATCATATGCAATTATTGCTGTGAAGAATTGTCATAAAAATATGTATTTAACAAGAGCATATGAGCCCAGCTAGCATATTTGGTTCCTTGGAAGTTGTGGGAACATATGTTTTTGGTTTCACTGACTGGTAAAATGTAACGTTTTTTAAACGTTCTCAGAACAGAAGTAAACATTTTGCCTGTGCTGGGAACGTTTATTTTTAGGTTGCAGGGAGGTTCTGAGAACGTTTTACTCTGGTTCCTTGAAAGTTTTCCTGAGAGGTTTTATTAATGCTCTGAGAACAGAAATGATATGTTATTTGGAGATTTTTTAATAACTTTGTTAAAACTTTCTGAATGTGTCAATGAGAATTTTAATAACACTGCTAGCTTATTTTGGGGTAACTTTTTGTTAAACTCCAAGCACATATGAAAGTACGTTTTTTTTGTCCAATTCCTTAAATGTGCTGAGAATGTTCCAAAGCCAAGCAACTATCCTGCAACATTCCCAGAAAGTTGTGGGAAGGTTGTATGCAAAATAACCATAGGACAACCACGATCTCACCAAGCTCTAAGAAACATATGAGCTAGCTGGAATGAGATATGAGCATAGATACCAATATTTTTTATTTATTTTTATTTTACCTTTATTTAACCAGGTAAACCAGTTGAGAACAAGTTCTCATTTACAACTGCGACCTGGCCAAGATAAAGCAAAGCAGTGCAATAAAAACAACAACACAGAGTTACATATGGGGTAAAAAAACATAAAGTCAAAAAAATACAACAGAAAATATATATACAGTGTGTGCAAATGTAGCAAGTTATGGAGGTAAGGCAATAAATAGGCTATAGTGCAAAATAATTACAATTAGTATTAACACTGGAATGCTAGATGTGCAAGAGATTATGTGCAAATAGAGATACTGGGGTGCAAAAGAGCAAAATAAATAACAACATAAGGATGAGGTAGTTGGGTGGGCTAATTTCAGATGGGCTGTGTACAGGTGCAGTGATCGGTAATATCCCCTCACTACCTGTAGGTCATATGGCAGAGAAGCACTTTTTCATAATGCCATGTGTTCTACTTCTTCATCTAATCACGTCATAGTAGTGTGGCATCCCTGTTTTTACGGCACAGGTGGTAGTGCACTCGCCCTACTGTAACCTCAGAGTCAGGTTCAAGTCCGTCTCCTGCTGTTCCCCTTCCATCGTTACACAATAGTCTTTGTAGTAGTATTCCATGTAGGCCTATACAGTATCTCCTAGCCTCATACAAACCATCCGATGCGAGATCAGGACGGTTTGTACGAGGCTAAGTCTCTCCCCTCCAGTAACCCTGGATTGTAAACTGTCAGGGTCAAAATATGTTGATACAACAGTAGCTAAGATGGGGAGAAATCTGTCCACAATACAGCGCTGATCTGCCTTTTTAACAACACTATCAACAAGGCAGGTCCTACAGGCCCTAATTTTGTCTCACCTGGACTACTGATCAGTCGTGTGGTCAGGTGCCACAAAGAGGGACCTTGGAAAATTACAATTGGCTCAGAATAGGGCAGCACGGCTGGCCCTTAAATGTACACGGAGAGCTAACATTAATAATATGCATGTAAATCTCTCATGGCTCAAAGTGGAGGAGAGATTGACTTCATCACTACTTGTTTTTGTAAGAAGTGTGCACCGAGGTGTCTGTTTAAACTACTAGCACACAGCTCGGACACCCATGCATACCCCACAAGACATGCCACCAGAGGTCTCTTCACAATCCCCAAGTCAAGAACAGACTATGGGAGGCGCACAGTACTAAGTAGAGCCATGGCTACATAGAACTCTATTCCACATCAGGTAACTGATGCAAGCAGTAGAATCAGATTTAAAAAACAGATACAAATACACCTTATAGAACAGCGGGAACTGTGAAGAGACACACACAGGCACAGACACACGCTTACACATACACATGATAAGACACGCACTCTACAGTCGTGGTCAAAAGTTTTGAGAATGACACAAATATTAATTTTCACAAAGTTTTCTGCTTCAGTGTTTTTAGATATTTTTGTCAGATGTTACTATGGTATACTGAAGTATAATTACAAGCATTCCATAAGTGTCAAAGGCTTTTATTGACAATTACATGAAGTTTATGCAAAGAGTCAATATTTGCAGTGTTGACCCTTCTTTTTCAAGACCTCTGCAATCCGCCCTGGCATGCTGTCAATTAATTTCTGGGCCACATCCTGACTGATGGCAGCCCATTCTTGCATAATCAATGCTTGGAGTTTGTCAGAATTTGTGTGTTTTTGTTTGTCCACCCGCCTCTTGAGGATTGACCACAAGTTCTCAATGGGATTAAGGTCTGGGGAGTTTCCTGGCCATGGACCCAAAATGTCGATGTTTTGTTCCCCGAGCCACTTAGTTATCACTTTTGCCTTATGGCAAGGTGCTCCATCATGCTGGAAAAGGCATTGTTCGTCACCAAACTGTTCTTGGGTGGTTGGGAGAAGTTGCTCTCGGAGGATGTGTTGGTACCATTCTTTATTCATGGTTGTGTTCTTAGGCAAAATTGTGAGTGAGCCCACTCCCTTGGCTGAGAAGCAACCCCACACATGAATGGTCTCAGGATGCTTCTTTGTTGGCATGACACAGGACTGATGGTAGCACTCACCTTGTCTTGTCCGGACAAGCTTTTTTCCAGATGCCCCAAACAATCGGAAAGGGGATTCCTCAGAGAAAATGACTTTACCCCAGTCCTCAGCAGTCCAATCCCTGTACCTTTTGCAGAATATCAGTCTGTCCTAGATGTTTTTCCTGGGGATAAGTGGCTTCCTCGCTGCCCTTCTTGACACCAGGCCATCCTCCAAAAGTCTTCGCCTCACTGTACGTGCAGATGCACTCACACCTGCCTGCTGCCATTCCTGAGCAAGCTCTGCACTGGTGGTGCCCCGATCCCACAGCTGAATCAACTTTAGGAGATGGTCCTGGCGCTTGCTGGACTTTCTTGGGCACCTGAAGCCTTTTTCACAACAATTGAACCTCTCTCCTTGAAGTTCTTGATGATCCGATAAATGGTTGATTTTGGTGCAATCTTACTAGCAGCAATATCCTTGCCTGTGAAGCCCTTTTTGTGCAAAGCAATGATGACGGCACGTGTTTCCTTGCAGGTAACCATGGTTAACAGAGGAAGAACAATGATTTCAAGCACCACCCTTCTTTTAAAGCTTCCAGTCTGTTATTCTAACTCAATCAGCATGACAGAGTGATCTCCAGCCTTGTCCTCGTCAACACTCTCACCTGTGTTAACGAGAGAATCACTGACATGATGTCAGCTGGTCCTTTTGTGGCAGGGCTGAAATGCAGTGGAAATGTTTTTTGGGGGATTACGTTCATTTTCATGGCAAAGAGGGACTTTGCAATTAATTGCAATTCATCTGACCACACTTCATAACATTCTGGAGTATATGCAAATTGCTATCATAAAAACTGAGGCAGCAGACTTTGTGAAAATTAATTTTTGTGTCATTCTCAAAACCTTTGACCATGACTGTACACACACGTACACATGGATTTTGTATTGTAGATATGTGGTAGTAGAGTAGTGGCCTGAGGGAACACACTTAATATGTGTTGTGAAAAGTGTTATGAAATGTAATGTGTAATATTTTAAATAGTCTATAACTGCCTTAATGTTGCTGGACCCCAGGAAGAGTAGCTGCTGCCTTGGCTGCAGCTAATAGGGATCCTTAATAAATACAAATACAAATATCTACAGGACATAGCAGAGAGACTGCACGTGATCCTGAACAGTGTGAACAAGGCGCTGTACCGCACGCGCTTGGCCTCGGCTGTAGAGGAGGAGGATGATGACCTGCTAACACAATCACAGCATCTGGAGGAGAAGCGGAGGCGTGGCCAGCAGCTCGTCACTATCCAAGCATTCCTACAGTCCAACCTGGACAAGGAAAATGAGCTCAGCGTGGTCCTCCAGTGGCTCAGAGACATGAGTGAGTGGCACAGTGCAAAAAGCAGTTCAAAGTGCTTTAGAATTGGACCAAAGCACTTCAGCAATTGATGCTACACTGCTTGCTCTTTAGGGGTTTAGGCCAGGATACTGTAAAAAAACGTTGTGACATTTGTTAGGGCTTTATTAATAACATTTTATTAATTGGTTGATCGCTATAGACCAGGAACTGGTGGAGGTGGAGGAGGACGAGAACTTCCGGGAGGTGGATGGCATCACTGAGGAGTGGGTTGAGGAGATGCAACACAAGATCCAGAGGTTCATGTCGGACATCCAAGCTTGCATTGTACGTCTTCACGAGCTTTGTGGATTCCTCTTCGAACTCGACACCAGGAAAACCAAGAAGATAGAAGCAGAACATAAGAAGGGAGGTGTGTGGCACTGGTGGCTGGAGTCAAAAGTTGACGCCAGGACCATACTGAAGATCCAGGAGCTGCAGCCGCCCACAGTGGACCGCATGATGGCGGACCCCAGCCTGGCCACCAAGTCTTCCACAGATCTCTCCTTCATGCTGGGTGACATCGCCAAGTCCATGTCCTGCAACAAGGCCATGAGCATGGCCTTTAAGTTCATTCAGACGGGGCTCCACAACCTAAATGAGGCTCTGCAGGAGCGCACTGGTGAGGCCCACAAAGCCCAGGCCCAGCTGGATGAGATGAAGGCTGATGACTGCCATGCCAACCTGGCCCGTGCCAAAGCAGAGCTGGAAGGGGGCAAGAGGATGATCACCGAACTTGAGAGAGATAACTATAACCTTCAGGAGGAGATCGCAGCGCACAAGTTCCAGATCCACAAGCTGGAGGGGATGGTCAGGTCAGGTCAACAGGGTCCTGTGATTAAAGTGATTGAGCAGGTGATGGAATTCCCCATGACTCAGAGCCAAACCCAGCCAGAGAGCACCTCAGCCCCATTCAAGCCAAAATATCCCAGACGGCCCCCTCCGTCCAAGAAGGAGCAGAAGCCAAAGATAGCCCCATCAGTGGTGGAACCACAGCTACCCAAGAGCCCACCCAAAACTACGGACGGGACGGAGCCAGAGCCCGAGCCCATTGAGGAGGAGTATGTCGAAGAGGAGACGTATGAAGAGGAGATACCTCCCACACCTTCCCCTGTGTCTGAAGAGGAGATCGAGGCCGAGCCATCACCTGATGAATTGGACCTCTTTGAGGCCATAGAGAAGAACAGCACCAGCCTCTTGGATGGCTTCCAGTCATCTGTGTTCAACATAATTGAAAAGTCCCTCAGTGTTCAGGGGATGGGCCTAGAGGCAGACAAGGCCAACGAAGCCATCAAACTCTACATCATCCTTCAGCAAACCATCCGAGACTCCTTCAACAATATCACCTCAAAACTCCACGGGTTATTTACAGACAGCATCCTGGGCTTGCCGTTTGAGGAGGACAAAGTGGCCCGGGCGGGGTTCTGGGACGACACCACCAAGTCACCAGGGGACATGCTCAAAGAGATCAACTCTATGTTCGTCAGGCATGACCAGAACATTGAGAGTTTGGGCGCCAATGTGCACATGCTCATGAAAGAAGACAAGAACGCCAAGTCTGCTTCCAAGAAAGGACTCCGCCAAGAATGCCGTCACTCTGTGTCTGAGGTCCTGATCCAGTTGAAGAACATTAACAACATGAGCAAGCAGCAGGCCTGTAAGATGCGCCTGGCCCTGGAAAGACTCATAGACATGTACAACAAGTTGGATAGGGAGCCCAAGACTGAGGAGGAACAGCCATCCACCAGCCATTTCTCCATCTCGTCCTCTGACAGCTTCGTAGAGGAAGAGGAGATCAGAGTGGAGAAGAAACGCCACCACCACATCGAGAAACCTGTCAAAGTACTGGTAGAGAAGCGAATCAGGAGGAGCCCTACCCCACCTCAGACAATGAGACAGGTACTGAAACCTAGACTTATAGAGACAGCCGACCAGGAGGACCTGGAGCGGTATAAGATGGAGATTGTGGAGGAGGGGAGGAAGATAGAGAAGACGGTGATGGTGGGGGCGACCTACCAGGTGAACGTGGAGTCTCAGAGGACCAACCTGAAGCTGCTCAGGCAGGCGGTGATCAGCGGGGAGATCTCCACTGAGCTGTACAGCATGGCCAAGGACCTCATCACACACATTCTGGGCATGGATGAGATGAGACTGGCCTGCCTGCTCCGCAAGTTCATGGCCTACAGATCAGTGCAGCAAGTCAGGTATGATAAGAATTTATGCTCATACTCTTTTTTGGTATAATTATTTTGTTCATATGATTCACGTGCCCATTTATTGAACAGAACTTGTATTTTTGGAATTCAACTTATTTTTCAACCTCTATTTTTCATTTTCAGGTACAATCTGAATATGCAGTTACTTGCTGCTCGGGAGCTAAAGGATGGGCAGTCGGTAAAAGAAATATACTCCTTCCTGACGAAACTGGATGTGTACCAGAAACGGATGTTACGTCGGTGGAGTGCTAAACAAGCTGCTATTGAACACAGCCGCAAGACCTGCCTTGCTCGCATGCTCTATCTATTCAGTGAGGTGAGGAGGAATAGTAGACACAAACCTTAATATAGTGCTACATTCAAATTAATTTCACTGCCTTTGAATCGTTCTCCTACAGACGTATGGCTTTACATGTGGCTTTATCATTGGCTATCTTTAATGATGTTGTGGTCATTTAAAATGTTAAAGGTGCTCAATGGAACATTTGAAACCCAATGGGCTCAGAGCCTTTCCTCAAACACATACGTTTTAGAATGGTCATTCCCATGGAAAGCAAACTCTGTTGATCTAAATCCATTCTATGTGAAGCTGCGATCCTGCTTCAGGAAGTGGGCGGTACAGTTTTCCTACTTTTGTTTTCTCCGTTGGGTATTTCAACAGAAAATATACAAGAGTAATGGCTGTTCAGAAGGTACTTCACAGCGTATTATTTGGACTGTACAACCATACTTTATGTTATACTTTGACATTTAGATGGTTAGATTAGTAAACGATGGCACAAGACTTATTACTACACAGCACCTTTAAAATAAATAAATAAATCAACCACAATTCCTAAAATGTCCTCAGATAAGACAAGACTACAACGTGCACCTGCTCACCCCGTTCCTGTGCCCCAGCCACTCCCGTCAACACCTGACCATCAAGTCCCACAAGCTGACGTGGTCCCTGAACCCTGGCTGCCAGCGCCGCCTCCTGCCCTCTCCAGCCCAGACCCCCCACCTGGTGATGCCCGCCTCAGAGGCCGGACCCCTGAGCGGAGTCAGGTACAGGGACCCCCACTGTGAACCCCCACATTATTGTGAACTCATTAAATAGCCTTTATGTTGCTGAAGTAAATTATTATTCATGTACCCATACTGCAATGTTTAGCCTCAGCTCTCCCTTCCCTTCCTAATTGGTACAGATACAGTAACTCAGTGCTCTGTCTCTCTCAGGCAGCTGTTGAGGGGCCAACTACCCACACTTTGGCATTGTAATCTGACCATGAACAACATGCAGCTGGCCAGGAAGATGGCCGCTCCCCCCTGCAACCTCTCCTCCATCCCCCTGCTGATGGAGATTGACCTCAGCCGAGCCACCGCACTGCGCTCCGCACAGGGCAGGTAAGACCTCACACACTGCATCAACTGGCATATCCATGATATCAATGGACATAGTGTGGTGCAGTTAGGAGCTTAGAGAGCAATACAAGGCAATATCTTAGTATTTTAGGATTATGTCCTTCCCCCTGGTGAAAGGTATAGGCTGCTTCTAAATTCTCATTGGCTTGTGATGTGTGAATGGGAAGCCACTGCACTTCTTGAGTGCTGGAGGGGCAAATTGGCCTCCGTGTTTTATTACAGTGATATTGGATATTAAGAGAGCAAGGCACAGGAAACTGACTTTTGTCCTCTGTGTGTAGTGTACCCAGCACAAAAATTTAAAGACAAGCTAAACTAAAGTTTGAGTTACTATGTTCTCTTCTCTTCTCTGTCTCAGGATGGTTGGGGGACAGCTGCTGCTTGCTAGAGGAGACGTGTAGACGCATAGGGAGATGATCTACTGAAGGGATCCAGTCTGTCACTAATCTCAACCGCCATCCAATAAAGAATACTTTCACTCCAGCCCCGTGCTCCAAGCCTCATTTACTCCCACACTATAGTTTTCAGTGGCGTTACAGTGCAGCCGAACAAGCACATGCGCAGAAGGTACAGTTGTTGAGCTGTCGGGAAGAGGCATCCAAAGAATCCAGTCACATAGCCACATAATTTTAAAAACCTTGATTAGAGGGGTTTCCTCTCCCCTTCTATAAGACTTTCCCTCTCTGTTTGCTTTGGTATCAGGACTGGACATGGGTTGATTCCTACAGTGAGTTAATCCATGCAGAAGTCTATTAGGGGTCTTTAACTGATTCCTGAAGACCTCTGGCTTATCTGGCTTTCCAGAGCAGTTCTGAGAATGTACTTGTTTTCTGTTTGAGCACCAGCAGGTGAAGACAGCTTTGTTAGATTCTAGCTTGAAATGTACTTATTCATGTTACCATACTAGAACTCATTAATTACTTTACATGTATAAGGAATGTATAGGTTGGGGTTAATGAAGGGTAGATGGGAACTAGGTATATGGAAAGTTACTGTTCCATGTTTCTAAGGAGGGAGGCGAAAGGCAATTGTTAGTCTCTGATAAGGCAGGCCGGCTGCGGAACTACTCAGGAGTGAGGAATGCGTCTCGAGGTCAAATCAACAGATGAAGTGAGAAGAAACCTCTAGGAGGGGGGCCAGAGAGGCCCACCACAACGACTCTCTTACTACAGTCCTATCTCACACATACACTTCCACGCCCACAAAGGTTTTAGTAACAGGCAGGGCTGTGACTACACCAGTGAGAGGAACCAATTAAATTCCTGCCTAGCAACAGAGATGTATCGGTTGTCTAGATGTGTAAGGAGTTGACCACGCCTATTAAAAGGTTATAAATATATGTGCTTGTGTAATCATGCCTTGTCTTTGCAGCTGTTTGACCCAGTGGGTGAATAAACTTGGTTTGAGCTTTTTCTAGTTGTCCGTTTGAGTTTTTACTCAGTTTGTTCAGAACATAACAGCTTGTAGAACAATTGTAGCAGCAGTAGCACAATGACTACAACAAATAATTCACTCACAGTCTCACACAATATCCACCATATACATTTGCACAACAAAAGGGGTATGTAAACTCACACTACACATTTACATTTTAGTAATATAGCAGACCCTCTTATCCAGAGCGACTTACAATTAGTGAATTCATCTTAAGCTAGGTAGATGGGACAACCACATATCACAGGCATAGAAAGTACACTTTTCCTCAATAATGTAGCTATCAGTAGAGTCAGAGCTAGAGGAAGGGGGGGGGGGGGGGGTCAAGTGAAAGTGCTGGATAAATTGCAGGGGTTTGATGGCACAAGCGGGGAGCCCAGCCAACAGTGAGTTGCAGTAGTCCAGACAGGAGAGGACAAGTGCCTGGATTAGGACCTGCGCCGCTTCCTGTGTGAGGTGTTAAATATAATATGCCATTTTTGTAGAGCAGGAACCTGCAGGAGCGGGTCACTGCTTTGATGTTTACAAAGAACGACAGGGTGTTGTCCAGGGTCACAGCAAGGTTCTTTGCACTCTGGAAGGGCGACACTGTGGAGTTGTCAACCGTGATGGAGAGGTCTTTGAGCGTGCAGGCCTTCACCCGGAGGAAGAGCAGTTCCATCTTGTCAAGGTTTAGCTTGAGGTGGTGGGCCGACATCCAAGTTGAGATATCTGCCAGGCACGCAGAGATGCGTGTCGTCACCTGGGTGTCAGAAGGGGGGAAGGAGAAAAGTAGTTGAGTGTCATCCGCATAGCAATGATAGGAGAGACCATGTGAGGATATGACGGAGCCGAGTGACTTGGTGTATAGAGAGAAGAGGAGAGGGCCTAGAACCGAGCCCTGGGGGACACCAGTAGTGAGAGTACGTGGTGCAAACACAGATCCTCTCCACGTCACCTGGTAGGAGCGACCTGTCAGGTAGGATGCAATCCAAGAGTGTGCAGCGCCTGAGACACCCAGCCCTGAGAGGGTGGAGAGGAGGATCTGATGGTTCACGATGTCGAAGACAGCGGATAGATCTAGGAGGATGAGAACAGAGGAGAGAGTTAGCTTTGGCAGTGCGGAGAGCCTCCGTAACACAGAGAAGAGCAGTCTCGGTTGAATGACCCGTCTTGAAGCCTGACTGTTTAGGGTCAAGAAGATTGTTCTGAGAGAGATAACGAGAAAGTTGATCAGAGGCAGCGCGCTCAAGTGTTTCGGAAAGAAAAGAAAGAAGGGATACAGGTCTATAGTTTTTGACGTCAGATGAGTTGAGTGTTGGTTTCTTGAGGAGGGGAGCAACTCGGGCCATTTTGAAGTCAGAGGGGACACAGCCAGTGGTCAGTGATGAGTTGATGAGGGAAGTGAGGAATGGGAGAAGGTCTCCAGAAAAGGGAGGAGGGGATGGGGTCGAGCGGGCAGGTTGTCGGGCGGCCAGACCTCACTAGTCACAGGATGTCATCTGGAGAGAGAGGGGAGAAAGTGTTCAAGGCTTAAGGTAGTTATGTGTGAGTGAAACCAGTGGACTCAAAAGGCTGAGTGAATGAGTAGTGAATTTCGTCAACCTTTTTTTCAAAGTGGTTGACAAAGTCGTCCACAGAGGGAGAGGAGGGAGGGGGAGGGGGTGGTGGATTAAGAATGGAGGAGAAGGTGGAAAAGAGTTTCCTTGGGTTAGAGTGGTAGAAAGTGACTATAGCAGCGGATACAGAGGAAGAGAAGATTGAATTAATGGCGCTGGAATGGCTGCCGTTTTACAGCCCTCTAACCAATTCTACTATTATGTGTGTTTTTTTGGTGTTATTTGTAATTTATTCTGTACATAATGTTTCTGCCACCGTCTGTTATGACCAAAAATAGCTTCTGGATATCAGGACAGCGATTACTCCCCTCGTATTGGACGAAGATTTTTTCTTCAACGAGTCGGACGCAAAGGATATCCTACAGACACCTTACAAGGCCCAAATCCCCGTCATTCGCATGAGAAAGAGACAGAGATATTGTGGACGTAGGTCGGTGTGCCTTGTAAGGATCCGACGGCGAGCGAGTAAACTGCCTCTTCCATCAATCCTATTAGCCAATGTTCAATCATTTGAAAATAAGGTAGACGACCTAAGATTACGGTTATCCTACCAACGGGACATAAAAAACTGTAATATCTTATGTTTCACCGAGTCGTGGCTGAACGACGACATTGATAACATACAGCTGGCGGGATATACACTACATCGTCAGGATAGAATGGCTGACTCCGGTAAGACAAGGGATGGCGGTCTGTGTATATTTGTAAACAACAGCTGGTGCAAAAAATCTAATACTAAGGAAGTCTCAAGGTTTTGCTCACCTGAGGTAGAGTATCTCATGATAAGCTGTAGACCACACTATTTACCAAGAGAGTTTTAATCTATATTTTTCGTAGCTGTCTATTTACCACCACAAACCAATGCTGGCACTAATAATAATAATAATAATATAATAATAATATGCCATTTAGCAGACGCTTTTATCCAAAGCGACTTACAGTCATGCGTGCATACATTTTTTTTGTGTATGGGTGGTCCCGGGGATCGAACCCACTACCTTGGCGTTACAAGCGCCGTGCTCTACCAGCTGAGCTACAGAGGACCACTAAGACTGCACTCAATGAGCTGTATAAGGCCATAAATAAACAGGAAAACGCTTATCCAGAGGCAGCGCTCCTAGTGGCCGGGGACATTAATGCAGGGACACTTAAATCCGTTCTACCTAATTTCTACCAGCATGTTCAATGTGCAACCGGAGGAAAAAAAACTCTAGACCACCTTTACTCCACACACAGAGACGCACGCATACAAAGCTCTCCCTCGCCCTCCATTTGGCAAATCTGACCATAACTTTATCCTCCTGATTCCTGCTTATAAGCAAAAACTAAAGCAGGAAGCACCAGTGACTCGGTTAGTAAAAAAGTGGTCAGATGACACAGATGCTAAGCTACAGGACTGTTTTGCTAGCACAGACTGGAATATGTTCCGGGATTCTTCAGATAGCATTGAGGAGTACGCCACATCAGTCACTGGCTTCATCAATAAGTCCATCGATGATGTCGTCCCCACAGTGACCGTACGTACATACCCCAACCACAAGCCATGGATTACAGGCAACATCCGCACTGAGCCAAAGGCTAGAGCTGCCGCTTTCAAGGAGCGGGACTCTAACCCAGACGCTTATAAGAAATCCCGCTATGCCCTCCGACGAACCATCAAAGAGGCAAAGAGTCAATACAGGACTAAGATTGAATCGTACTACACCGGCTCTGACGCTCGTCGTATGTGGCAGGGCTTGAAAACTATTACAGACTACAAAGGGAAGCACAGCCGCGAGCTGCCCAGTGACACAAGCCTACCAGACGAGCTAAATCACTTCTATGCTCGCTTCGAGGCAAGCAACACTGAAGCATGCATGAGAGCACCAGCTGTTCCGGATGACTATGTGATCACGCTCTCCGTAGCCGATGTGAGTAAGACTTTTAAGCAGGTCAACATTCACAAGGCCGCAGGGCCAGACGGATTACCAGGACGTGTACTCCGAGCATGTGCTGACCAACTGGCAAGTGTCTTCACTGACATTTTCAACATGTCCCTGACTGAGTCTGTAATACCAACATGTTTCAAGCAGACCACCATAGTCCCTGTGCCCAAGGACACTAAGATAACCTGCCTAAATGACTACCGACCCATAGCACTTACGTCTGTAGCCATGAAGTGCTTTGAAAGGCTGGTCATGGCTCACATCAACACCATTATCCCAGAAACCCTAGACCCACTCCAATTTGCATACCGCCCCAACAGATCCACAGATGATGCAATCTCTATTTCACTCCACACTGCCCTTTCCCACCTGGAAAAGAGGAACTCCTACGTGAGAATACTATTCATTGACTACAGCTCAGCGTTCAACACCATAGTGCCCTCA